TTGCAAATTTCTTTTAGAATCTATTCTCGCAAGCAGGTGTTTTAAATTTTTAATGTTTTATCTTTCTTTGCCTTTTTCCATGGAGTGTGTCTGTAGATGCGTTTTACTATGGCACTGACAGAAGGGGGACATATTCTTATTATATTGTTTAAGTTATTTTCCATTGTAGTTTGGCCTTGTTGGCAATTCTTTGGTATTAGATAATTTTAATTTTCTGGTTTTAAGGCCTGCTTTTGAACATTCATAGTGAACATTCACATACTTTTGAATATTCACATTGGCTCGCTGATCTTGGCCCTGTATGAAGTATAAACCCCTACAAATTCTATTGCAGATAATACTTCTAGAAAATGCCAAACATTTGGTGTTTATCTAATGCTTTGTATATTAGTTCATTTTAACACATATCTCAGAACCTGTTATGTGGCTGACATTGTGCTGGGCACAGGACTTACAAAGACAAAAGTTATGGTCTATGCCTGAAGGAGCTGTAGTCTAATGGTTAGGGGGGCAGAACTGATACAGGAAATCGTTAAAAGTAAGCATGATTCATGAATAAATTAAGTATGTGAGATATAAAAGTAGTGCATAGTAGAAGCTATTGGTTCTGTTTGGTGGTGGGGTTAGGGAATGAGATCAGAGGCGATTTTTATAGAGCTGAAGAGGATTTGAACCATGAGTAAGAGTCCAACAGGCAGTCGGACAGGGACAAGGGTGAAAGCAATAAACTGGGCATTGAGCGCATAGGCATAAGACAAGAACTAGCACAGTGGTACTGTGACCTATACGTTCTTTGTCATGACTGCACATGGGCTGCAACTGAAGTCACTCCACATGATGAGAAGGGTGTGTGGTAAGGTGGAGTTGAGGGGCTTGTCAATGGAGTTGAAAAGTCGAAGTATTCAGGCCATGGCATAGAATGGCTCCTCACCTGGGCACTGAAACTACTCTGATGGTAGGACACAAGATGGGGAGAGACATAGGTTGGTGAGGTTTCCTTTAAAATGACGTGGAAGGGGCACTCAGAGAAGAGGTTGAGGATTTATGTGAGTTAATTATATCAAAACTGTGATGTCAGCATGCCCAAGGGGAAGTTTTGGAGGGAGAATTAAATACTGGCAGAGTGTGTGAGGGGGTAAGGTTGTAGGGGGCATAGAGCAGGAAGGGAATCAACATGTGAGAAAGAGTTTAAACCAGGAACTTATTTTTTGTCTTACATTTCAATGAACATTTATTGAGGATTTATTGCGTGCAGTGACCATACTTACTCTTGGGAAACAAGGACTTATAAGAGAGGAAAGGAGCCACAGGGTATGTACGTAGGAAGATAAATAGCCCATGTCTCTGTGATCTTTCCACAAGATGCTAAGCCTGTAAAGAGCAACCCTTTCATATTTCTAGAGTGACTTTTATACAGTATATCTTGATACATATTTACCAATAAAATGAATGAAATCTCCCCTGTTCACTTAAAAACTCCTATTTTTCATTATTCAGTATTGTCCATTAATTACATATGGTACCACCACATGCAGCAATTTATTGTGTGTTCAAATAACGTTTAATGCCAGAGGAAATGTTCATGATATGATTTTAAAGTAAAAAAAAACTTAAAAAATTATATATATAATAAGATCCTAGTTTTATGAATTTATGTGTGAGAGAGAGAATCTGTTGTCAAAATATTAGTGATGGTTATCTCTGGGTCGTGAGATTAGAAGGATGCTTATTTTCTTCATCTTCCAAGTTTTCTAAAAAGCATATGTATTATGTAAATTTATAATCAGAAAATGCTATTTAAAAATATTTTTTCTTTAGGAATTCATGTTACTCTGTTTTTAATTTTATATAACATTTATAGTAAAAGTTAAGATCGTAGTAGGCTTTCTCCTATCACAAACTAACTTTCCAGGTGTTCTTCCATTGTTTTTGTCTCTGTTTATTTCTGTGAACTCCTTTCTGACCTTCATTTCTTGCTCTGTGCTGGTGAAGGAGATGGCTTACACATCTCAGTTCACTGATGAACAGAACCCTCTCCCTACACCTCAGACAAGCAGTTCATCTTTGTATTCTCTATTTGCGTCACCGTACACAATGTTGAGTTTTGTTGTTTTGTCTCTTTGCCTTTTATATCCTTGTGGCTGCCATTTTCCATTCCAGTGCCCTTTCAATTTTATTTTATTTGTTATTATTGATCTGATTCATCTTTTCTGGTGAAATGTTTATCCTAAAACACATCTGCAAGCCATTCATAGCTCTGCTTAGATACAAACATTTCACTGAATTTGAATATTTAAGAATATGTTCCTTTATAATCTGTCGATTTCTTTTTGTAGTCTCTTTGAAAGCAAGTACAACACTTGGATGCAAAAAAGTTGTGTAAAAAAGTCATATCCATAGATCATAACTATAGTCTACTGAGTCCAGCATCTGTCTCTGAAGGTTGACTCAAGGGACACTTTGTGGATGACTATGATTGTTGTCTTCTAAGGTAACTCGGAAGGTAGAAATGAATGTCAAACACACTTAACTTTCCTTTTTAAACCATTTTGGAAATAACGTTTGGTAAATTTTGTAACCCTTTTTGGAAATCCACCACTGTACATTCTCAGGGTTATAAACTCCACCTGTGAATAAAACAGAATTTATTTTTATTGTTTCTACCATTGAGTTCCAAGTTCCAGAATTTTGATGGAGAGACAAATATCACCTTACCCTATCTCTGTTGACTCCAATTTTATAGATTACTCCCTTTCACTTTCCTCTTTTAGGACAGAATAATTGTAAGCTATTTTCATGGCTCCTTGAAGTGTCCTTCCCTGCACTTTTCTTAGCGTGAGGATTATTTTGTTGAGTACATGACCAAAACTCTGCACTTACTCCAGGCCTATATATGCGAGAACATCACCGCAGTCTCTGTCTCATTTTCTATATTCTTTCTTCTGATATTGCTGGGCTTTTGGCTGCAATTTCATTGTGGATCCATGTCTTCAGATGTGAGACACTATACAGTCAGGATGTAATCCTTAGATGTGCTGTGTGGGCCATGTCCTTGGGGAACATTAGCTGTAGAGATAATCCAAAATAGCTGCCAAAGCTGAAATCATCATTTGGTGATGATTTTGTAGTGATTCCTGTATATATGTATATTTTCAATTTACATATATATATAGGATGATTTAACTGAGAAAACTCTAGTGAGTGAAAAATTACTTTGGATTTCTTAAGCATACAAGAGCTGATGGAGAGAAAGAATCATTGGCTGAAAAGACTTTTTTGGATGATAGTAAAAACCAGTCTGGGATTAAATGATTGCTGTAGATAATCCTCAAAATGAATTAATCCATGTGAATTAATCTAACATGTATAATCAGCTTTGAGGGTGGCTCTGTTGTCTCTGGTTTTTAAAAAGGAGAGTAGAGAAGACAACATCCAGTCAGGTTACAAAAAAAGTAATTAAAAAGGAAAATGGTTTCTCTAGGAGAAACAAAAAGGGCTTGAGTTTGGTTCTATTTCCTCCCTCCATCCTTCCCTTCCTTTGTCACCTGGCTGTATCTTCTCAGCTTCCGTAGTGTTCTGCTATGGCCTTTACCTATTAGAGCACCTACCTCAGCACGCCTCATTGGTGGTGTATATTTCTCTGTCTACTCATTGGTCTGTAAGCAGCTTGAAGAAACAGTCTATATCTCGTTCATATCTTAGATGGTCACATTGGCTCACATGGTGCCTTACTTATAATTGACCCTCAACAAGTGTAAAAATACATTTTACGTTTAATTGAGTGACTTGATAACTTTAACAATATGAAGTATTAATATGTGAAATGTGTTAAATAATTGCGCTCTGGGAAACAAGCTCCCATTAGAGAAATAGACGGAGTTTTAAGACAAAAGATGAACACATATTTTCTAGACTGCAGAGATAATCAAATACTGTAATAGATGATCAGAGAAGGAGATGAAATCTCCATCCCTGGAGATCCTTAAAAATTGGACAGAGAAAACATCTGTGAGAATGACTGAAGCAAGTAGATAGACAGAATGACAAATGGTTGTGTGATTCTTTGATTACTTGGCCTGGAGAAAGAAGACTGAGGGGAGACCTTAAAACTACTTCAAATATGGAAAACAGCTATTATTGCTTTCCATAGGAAACCAAATCAAAGGAACTTAACCTAAAGTCTTAGAGATTTAGATTACATTTTATAGTTAAGGATTTTAAGACGCAGGTTGTGAAAATCCTGTGGAAATCCACAAAATAAAAGATTGATTTGTGTGAGATGCAGAGTCAGCTCTATGATTCTCTTGCAGTAAAAATATTTTTTGTATTACTCTGAATAGAGGGAATTATTCCAATATATTATATTCAGTGTATAGCATTCTCTTGGAAAAGGAAAACTTTTAAAAGTAATGTTTTAAAGCACCAAGTATTATCACTGTTTGATGTATAGGAGATGCGAACAGAGATAATAGGTGTGAGGTCTTTCCGTCTAAATACCTGTACAGGGTTGCGTTATTAAATCAGTAGCCCCTTACCTCTTAATCAGAGTAAATAAGTCACAGGGATATAATGTACAGCATAAGTAACATAGTCAACAATATTGTAATAGCTTTGTATGATGACAGATGGTTACTAGTCTTATCAGGGTGATCATTTCATAATGTATATAAATGTCAAATCACTATGTTGTACACCCGAAACTAATACAATATTGTATGTCCACTATACTTCAAAAAAAAAAATCGATAGCCAAAGGGTGAGGAGGAGTCTGAGACACAGCTCTGCTGTGCTGGGTCAGCCTGGTTTGGGCCACTGAACCTTTTCTCAATGAAAATGTGAAAGAATTGCAGGGAAGAGGCTACAAAAATCCTATCAATACGAAGGGAACCAAAATACCTATTAAAGAATAATATTCATTAGATATTTGATTGTAATTTCAACATTCAGCCACACGATGTCACAATTGGATTTTGATTTTCACTGTGTATTTCTCGCAAATAATAGATGAAGGCATTTTCAAAGCTGGAGAAGAGAGATCTGAAACACGGGGGGCAGCAGAAGTCCAAGAAGATGAAGATACTCAAGTTGAGATTCCCATTGATCAGGTAATCCCCATGCTTTTAAAAATATGTATAAACCAATAACTACTGTTTTTGTTCAAGTTTTATGTTATCTGCTCCATGTTGTTCCTAAGCATATGTTAGTTAAACCCACTCAGGTGCTATGTGGCTGAACGACCTTAAAAACAAAACAAAACAAAACACTTCGGTTTTTCCTAGTATTCCTACAAAAAATAGCATTTGGATGAAGTCTTTCTTATTGTTATTTTTGAAAATGGTATATCTTTAATAAACAACATTGAAGAATGAGGTGGATTGGAATTAGGTATAAGATACAAAGAGGGAGAAAGTTTGATACACAAGAGTATTGACTTGGGGATTTTATCTAGAAAAAAAGTCCTTCATTTACAAAAGCAGATTTTTTTTTAAAATGCCGTGATATTCTCTCCTTTACAGTCCTTGAAATTGTTGTGGTTGGAATTTGTTTTTCATAAAGAATTGCTTATATAAATGCAATTCAATCATTTGCTGCGTGTGTATTGATTTTCTTTCTTGGGCCAGTGGAACACTGTACTTTTAGGAGTGTGTGTGTGTACACACACATGTGCTTATAGAAGGGACTAAGTAGTGTTAATTCTGGCTAAATGATGCAAGAAATAAAAGTTGGTTGGGCCTTTTAATACTGAATTCAGCCAGGTTTCTTACAATTCTAAGTGAAGGATTGGAATTTAGGTGAGGAGGGGAAATTCATAATCCCAGGCTCAAGGGAATAGGAGTCACTAGGAATTGCCACTTGTCCTCTGACTATTATGTGATATTTCCCTTTCAAAAAGCAAATTTCACAATCTAGCAAATTCCACAGATGATCTTCTCAATTGCATTTGTGTTAGTGCGGCAGTGCAATCGCTGCTTGATTATTCCGCAGGCGTTTTCTGTAAGCATCGCCTTCCTGATGACAAACCTAATGTGTTAAAAATCACACAGATTTCAAAAATCCAATTTATCATCCAGGATTAGCTACAACTAATAATTTTTCATAAACTCTAGTTATAGGTATTTTTTTTCTGAGGGAAAATGGAATTTTAAGTCTTCTCTGAAGCTATAATTAAATATTATATTTTAAGACAAAGAAGAGTAATCATCATGTATGTACAACACCTGATAGCTGCCAAAACCAAGACTAATTTATATTCCAAAGTCAAAATGCCGAATATCAAGAGAAAACCATAGCTTTATTATCAAAAGAGAAATCTGTTTGTTAATCACTGAACAAGTTACAAAATCTGTTATGGGTGTTTCTTATAAATCTGATGATCACAAGGAAGAGGAGCTGGCAGGGGGAACTGATCTCTGATGATACTCGAACAGCCTTGGATAAGTGTCCATAGAGCCTGATGGCTTATTTGACTGGAGAGTGCTAGCTTATTAAAATACAAGTATGCAAGAAAGACCGATTAAACAGATTGGTAAAAGCTGGGCAATATCAACAAGATGATGTCAGTTTGAAGGAAATAAAGCCAGGTAACAAAAGATCAGAATTACTCTCTTTAGAGTTATTAATAGAGTTGGGATTGTCTGGCTCACGTAGTTGGCATGAGAGGCTTATGAGGTCAGGTCTTAGAGTCATTCTCTCTGTGGTCTGGTGACCTTTTGCTCCATAGCCTAAGCAGTTATGTTATGAATATTGTGGCAAACCAAGTGACAGTGTGGATAAATGAGCGGAGGGCTCCGTTATAGTAAGCTTCATTACAGTAAGAACAGCCTAGCTCCTTAAGAACGACTCTGAGGACGTGCCCTAACGGTGATCTTCATTAAACAATAACTACCATTTATTTTGTACCTACTGAGTGCCAGATACTGTTCTAGGCACTTTTATCCCATATAGTTGTGATGACAAGCCTATAAGATATACATAGAAAGAAAGTGAGCTCATGTAGTGGAGTTACTTGCCCTCTACTTGTACTGTTAAGTAGAGGAACTGGGATTTGAATGCATGTCTGTCTAACTTCAAAACATAGGAATGATCTTGGGGAAGAGTATTAAATGAAGGAAAAAAAGCCAATTATTAACCCAGGGAAGGAAAAAAATTCCTGCATAAGAAAAACAATGTAGTCATCGTATAGTTCTTGGCTCAGCTGTAAATGATACTTACATACACTCCCCTTTGGGCCATAGCTAGTTAACTTCTTTGGACTGGTTTCCCATCATCTAAGTGAATCACATTGTAATTTTAGTCAAAGGGCCATGAAGAAGGGAATGTGTGTGCACACGTGTGTGTGTGTGTATGTGTATACATATCATATGCAAATTGGCCAAATAGTTTATTTATGCCTGAAAAGCAGATCAAGTTTTATAAGTAAATATCGAGGCCTCTGTTGGGAGACAGTTCTCCATGGATCTCTATGTTTCTGCATATCTAGTGAGCAGAAGCACCGATTGCCTTAGTTCTGGACTGTGTTTTCGAGGATGTTTGTATAGTGAACGTCCTTGAAAGACAGAGCTAGTGACTTCCTTTGGAACAGTCCTTCTCAATTGGAGGTGATTTTGCCTCCAAAGGGATATTTGACAATTTCTGGGGACATTTTTGATTGTTAGAACTGAGGGAATGCTACTGGCATCTAGTGGGTAGTGGCCAGGGGTGCTGCTAAAGATCTTGTAATGCACATGACAGCCCTCACAACAAAAAATTATCCAGCCCAAAGTGTCAGTAGTGCTTACATTGAGAAACTCTGCTGTGAAGGCTGGGTTTGTTTATTGTCCACTGTAATAAAGATAATGTTTCTCTATGGTGCAAAGGCCAGCATACTATCCATTTTAAAAGATGTGGCACCATTGAATTGTATACTTAAAATTAGTTAAAATGGTAAATTTTATATTATGTATATTTTACCACAATAAAAATATTTGGGAAAAAAAAAGATTTGGGTTCCCTAAGCTTGGGGTTCTTCCCCTGAAACGCAAGCCACTGTGTGTATCACTCAGCTCCCTTCACATTGCCCTGTGGGAATGGGGCCTCAAGGAGTGAGTGCAAATGCCAATACTCTGGCTACTGCTATCGCTGTGAGCACTATCAAGTCCTCTGTCTCTGAGCCGGTAGTCTCCTGTCTTCTGCCAGCGTCCATGAAACTGTGGCAGGCTGATGTGGTAGCTTGCAAGTAGGGTAGAATTTCAGTCCTTTCATAGTCCTTTATAGCCTCTATTGGTACCATTTACCATGGTGTTTGTGTGTGTAAGGGTGTGTAATGGGGCGTTGTGGACTAATTTGAGCCAAGAAAGAACCTGAGCTCTGTCCCAAGATCCAGACTCTCCATTTCTTAGAGACAAGTTAATGATCCTGGATTTCTTACTACTTCCAAACCATTGGGAAACTGAAGAATGTCACAGTCTTTTGTGTATTTGGAGAGGCCAGGACAAATATCTTTCCTCAGGGGAGAGTTTAGGTCTAATAAGAATAAAGCACTCTTTTAAAAATTGCTGCTTTTTTTGCATGCACATCCAAATCAGTCTGGTTCTCCATAAGTAGTGGAGCAAGTGTCTGATTAACCAACACCTGTGGTTCTACCCTGGCACTGATAACTCTCTGTCAATACGCTCTATTTATAAAATGATGCTTTTCCAAGCTAAGGAGGCAAGAAATGAGCATGCTCCATTATAGTTAAGTGAACTGCGCCTAGTAAGTAAAGATCAGGCAGGAAGAATCCATTATTTCAGAAACACAGGCAAATAAATACCTATAAAATAGGCAAATAAGCAATTATATTGTGGATTTTGTTCCATTTGACAGAAGAGCGCAGAAGATGGGGATAGAAGCTTGAGAGTGGTCTCAGATGGTTTTATAGCTTTTCCCATCAGCTGGTAGTTGACTTTGAGTAGTAAAATAATGAGAATTGCAAAATGTTTTTGTGCTAAGTAACTTCGTGAAATAGCATTCAAGCCAGAATCATGAACACTGGAGCAGTGAAAGCTTTTTTTTTTTTTTTTTTTAATTGAAAGCTGTACTATATACTATTTTCTTATTTATTTATTTGGAATTTACTTCTTAATCAAAGTTATACATATAATATTTTGAAAAGTCAACTAGTTCAACAAAGATGGTAACAAAAATAGCAACCACCTACCCCACTCTTCCCCACCTGGATTCCTGCTCCACAGAGGTAACCGGTTTGAACTAGTTTAGTTATTTCTCATGGAATAGACTGCTATATTTCTAAACCATGGATTTCTCACTCCTCTTTATTTCAATACGTCTGAGACCTTTGGATCTTACAAGTAATGGCATGTTGTAGTTTAATTGGCATGTCTTTTTATTTTTACAGGTACATAAAATGATGGAGATCCTTTTAATTGGTGATGTCTCAAATTTGATGAAATAAATTTCTTGATTTTATTTTTCAGATTTAGATATTATTTATTAATTTTATCTCTAATGACTATGGAAGATGATTATTTAGCTTTCTTACCAACCCCTTTCCCCCTCCCCCCACATAAAGCCTCATGCACACAAACACACACACACACTCCCTTCTTCTTTCTTTCCACTATAATTTTATAATAATTTTTGGCTAAGTCAATGTTTTATCTGTACATTATTTTTTACTGTGTAAGTTTTATTCTTAGCTGAGCCACAGTGTACTGTGGTTACATTTCCTTTCTTGTGTAACCCATTTTTCCTCCTCCCTATTTTAGTAATTGCCTGTATTTTTTTTTTTCATTTGCTTACTTTTTTGTGTAGTTATTACCAAGCCATCTTCAAACTCGGCTAGAATTGTTGATCTCTTCTTGGTATACTCAAACATATCCAGTGATGATGAAATCTCAATTCATTTTTTTTCTCAAACCCTTCAATCATCTGCCTCAAGCTGGTTATTTGTTCTCTAGATCTGTTTTTCAGAGTTATCCTGGTATTTTTCTTCACTATTATTTTGGGAATTTCATTTGCTTCCCCAGTGGATGGATCCCCTATTTCTCGAATTCTACGTCTTCCTCTTGGTTACACCTTCATTTTTTATGAAACTCACCTCTAGTAGCTTCCTGAGAAAAACTTC